TACCTAATTAGACGTGAACGGCAGCGTGTAGAGAAGGGAAGCTACTTCAGAGCAGTGCTCAGGGGGCTGTGAATCAAGAGCCCCCATCACCACCACCACCAGAACAGCAGTGCTCGCAGCGAAGTGCCGTCTTCTCCTTACAGAATCCAAATAAACAGAGCACACGAAAGAGGGATTTGTTCGTGCTGCTGAAAGCGGCATTAACTCTCCCTCTGTGTTCAGTGACCCCACCAGATGGGTCACAGTGCACAAATGCTGGCATACAGCTTTCGCCTGCAGAGCCACCAAAAGCCGCGCAAGAGATCGGAAAGGAGACCACAGGCTGAACCTCTCTCCTCCCCGCCTCCCTCCCTCCCTGAGATGTCATGTTTTAGATGTCCCACTCCAGCCAAGCCCACTCACTCTTGTGTTTCTCCTTGCCCTCTCCCCCTTTGAAAGGTTCGGTCTTCCCTTCCACAGCCTTTTCTTTCCCACTTTTGTATGTAGAAGCTCATTGCACTGCTGTCCATAAAGCGCTAGGAGATGAACGGTGTTACATAACTGCTAGTTACCGTTTTATCATGTTTAGAATGATGCAAAACGGGAAAGTAGACTCTCCTCAGGGCCAGGCTAAGCAAACTAAACTTACGTTACTGGTGACCCCAAAGAATATTCACTTCAGCATCCCCAGAATGGCAGAATGGAAGGGTCATGCATTTCAGCACACACTGCCCCGCACAAAGCGACAAGCCGTTAATAGCCATGGCGTATAGGCATGTGTGGGGTGAGAAATCTCCCGTGATGTAGCTGCTAGTCAAACAAACTTACAAAACAGTGTTGTTGTTTTTAGTTTTTTTTTTACATTTGCCATGATTTGCTATTCATTAAGCTCGGCTATTTTGTGGCTTTTGATACTCCAAAGAGGTTATATTCAGCTTGTTTTTCATTCCAGGTCAGCTAACATAAAATCAATAACCGTTTGGACAGATTTCCTTCTTTTAACGAGCCTACAATTGACATACAGAGCTGAAACTCTCCTCCTGTTTCGCATTTACAGGAGCTTTCTCAGACTGATTTGGTTCTCTCTTTCTCTTATATTCTTTTGCAGCAGAAATTCGGATTGGCACGTTACAAGGCACTGTTTGTATCCTCGGCGCAGATACATGCTGCCTACTGAACTCAATGAAGCTTCTTGACAGCAAAATCAATTACAGCAAAATCAGGTACTTTCTCACCGCTGGAAAGTGCAATGACACTCTCAACGTTCTCAATTGCAGCCAAAGCTACAATTCTTCATGCAGACAAGCCTGGTACCCAGTTTGCAACTGATCATGTCAAGAGGACTGCTCTGATGAGTAGCGGCTGCAGGAGCAGGCACTCTTTCTGTAGTAAGAACCTGGCGTTCCGATTACAGTGTCCTGCAGCACCACTTGTTTTCAGGCTCACAAACTGTACCACGGACCTCAAGACGTGCACCAAAGCCCAGTGGGAACTGATGGCTCTAAGGCTTCAGCAGTATGTATCTAGTTCATCTTCAAGTAACAATCTCCAAGCTCAGTGCATCCAAAATACCTGCTGATCAATGCTTTACTTCAGCTTGTGCTTAAAGCTGAGCCCATGCTTTGCTGAACTGTGATCTAACCATGTTTCTGGTTGTATTACTCAGTCTCTGGCAGCAACCTCTCTCATCAGAAAGCAAATCCTTTACTGCCTTATAAGCCAATAGAAATTAAGCATCCTTCAAAGAAGGTGTCAAAGCTGAGTTTTCCTGAAGTGTGCTTGACAACTGTTAAGAAAGACAAGCAAAACAAATATTTTCAACCATATTTTGAGAACAACTGGTTTTCTTTTTATTGGAAAGTTCTGTTGGTTCATTATGGAAAAACGCAGCATGTCAAACTGACAGTTGTAGAATGATTCAACAAGCTACCATAGAACCCTATTTTGCTCTCACAGAGCTTTCTCTTGATTGGGACAAATTCTGCTCTCTGTTATGGCAGGGCACATATGCTGGAATCCAGAGCTGAATTTTGCAGACTGGTCCAGCGGGAAGTTAAAGGCCCCCAGCACCTTGCAAGACCAGGTCCTGCGGTATCTCTGCAAACGTGAAGTAGGGTTTGACAAGCAGCTGTGATTGATAACCTCACAGTTCACGGCCACTGGAGGGTGAGGATTTCACTCCTCCCTGCTTCCTCACTTCCCTGCACCACTGACCTTCCCCACCCCTTCCTTTCACGGCCTCTGGCACTCACTTGGTTTCCAACTCACTCATTTGACAGAAAAAGATCTACTTTGTTGTTGTTGTTGTCGCTGCATTGGATTTTCTGCCAGATCAGGGAGCTCAGGCAGCTCCTGGAAGAGAAGGCAGCACTTGCAGATGCACTTGCACAAGGACAGAACCAGTTCAGGGCAGGCAACAAAAGGGCACAAAATGGGAGGAATTAAACTGAAAAAGAAGGAAGAAGACAAAGTCTTCCCTTTCCATCAGATATGGGCTTTTAAGATCAGCTCAATCCACTCCCCATAACCCTGATCTGCATCCACCTATATCAGTTTTACACCGGTGTTACCCCACTAATTGCAATAATTACTGTTATGTAATTCAGACCATTAATACCCAGAAGCCCTGGCAATAAGCAGGGTTCTGCTGTTAAACAAGAGACTGTATATGCTCCAAGGAGCTGACAGTCTAAGTCAGCACAACGCGCAATCAGAAGAGCAAACTACGGAAGACAAAAGTGGTCAGGAAGGTGGGGTTACTAAAGTAGAGGAAGACACAACCAAAACTCGATCCTGAAAGACTCACTGCACTGTTTGGTACTGACTCAGGCGAGTCACATGGATTTAATCACTGAAAGTAATCAAACTATTTGAGCAAAAAGCTTCACTCTAAGTCCACCAGCGATCTATAACTCAGCATGTGCGACAGGCAATTATACCACTTCTTTGTTTCATTTTAGATTCAGTATCACTGAAGGGCGAATTCCGCACTTCACCTGGATGCAAAAACTCTCACTAACGCGAACAGGAGATCTGCCTGCGTCTGGGGTGCAGCCAGACGGGGCACTTTGGCTGCCAGTTTTGTTGCAGCCAGTTTCTCAGTGCACTACATCATCATTCCCCGTCTAAATCAACAAGCAAACCAACCAAGACACCAACACCTAAAATTAATGTGAAGGATCCTGTTCTCTGTCATCAGATTCAGCCTCCTTCCCTCTCACCCCTGCGTTTTGGGCTGAGCTCTGTGTGACAGCTCTCTATTCCAAACATCAAAAACACTGCTTGCTTGGCACTTACCGTGCCTGTGTTACTGAACAGGAAGGAAAAACCTCATGCATTTGGCCATCCTCATTAAACGGCATGGCAAGGGACGGGCAAGCAGAAGTTGTGTCTGGACAAGAGAATGTCAAAGCGCTGTTTTTCAAAGCTGACTTAAATTTATCACAGTACATCTATCTGAGGTACTTGCATAAATTATAATCCTGCTTTACTATGTACTTAGTTGTATAAGAAAATGTTAGAAACAAACCTGGAGCGTTGACAATCGAGACTCCTCTTTCTGCTAGTCTTGCTGAGCCACTGTGTGTGATGAAGGCATGAAACATCCTTCAGCAATAAAACAGAAGTTTGCAGGGAAAACAGAGACGTCCTTTGCAAGGAAAACGATAACGCAGTTCTCTGATTTAAAGTAAAGAAGCAACTTTGGGTCAGTCTTCACTAGTAAGCTGTGCCGCGCTGTGTTATCACGATGAAGATAATGTGTCATTCATCTTTCGACAACAGCTTAACTGTAAAATCCACAGCACTGAAAAGGTTTTGTTTGGAAATAAAACAAGGATGTGTTTTGATGAAAGGTGATGCTTTCCATCTGAGTCCAAGGTGTAAGCCACGCAGTGGTTATTTAAGTAGCACGGCATGCCATGTCAGACTCTTTAAGTGCCGTCCGTTTCCAGTCTATGATAATTAAAACCAGTGAACTGTGTACACAAACGGTATGGATACATAAAGGTGACTGATACACGCGCCAAAGTAATACGGAGTGCACAATGAAAATAGTTTTGCAGATATTGCACTCGCATTCTACTTTCTTGTTATATCTATCCACTCCCTCATGTTTTTCATCTGTTGTGCACTTGGATCGAAACCAGTAACAGCAGATAATAGTTCGGTCTCAAAAACATAACGAAGATATCAAACTGTAAAACCAAAAAAAAAAAAAAAGCTGCACATACATTTTTTTGGACTGGGGACAGTAAGCACAGGACTGAATTATTTAGAAATTCTGAAACAGTAAGGTAATTAATAAAATTATTTATAAAGAAGTATATCTACAATATTTAATAATTTAAGGCTCACAAGAAACAAACATATCAATGACAATTAAATTTTTCTGCTATAGGGTTAAAAGCACCAAATTCACTTCACATACTAGATACCCAGATCTGTACTGATCACAAGTGGAAAACTGAAAGTGCTGATCTGCTAATGTTCCTAGTGCTTTAACGATGTCATATTTCACAGGAATAAGAAATCTCCTTTCAACCATAAATACAGCCATACAGGTATAAAATATATTGGATTAATTTCAGTTTAAAACTACAGTACAAAAAAACTGAACCTCCCTCCCCCCCCCAATCCATTCATTCTCCACACAGACATCCCCCAACTCTTTAATACTAAACTTGGAGCAACCGAATTGTTTACAAATGACCCACTTAAAACCAACCACCATTTGCTAAAATAAGTTTCTACAAATTAGATTTTGCACTGTCATAATTTACCAGCTCCTGCATCATGGAGCGTAGCTTATTCTTAGTCTATTTTAAAAATAGGTGACCCTTTGTGTCATGGAAAAAGAACATAAAAACATGTATTCCTGGAGGACTGCTCAGGATAGTGATCAATTTATAAAATATAGCCTGATTTAAAAAACTAACCAGTACCAAAAGAACAGTTACAGCAGTCAGCTTCTGACACCAGCAAGTCCTTCTGCATTTCTGAACTCTACCTCTCTCCCCTCCTTACAGGTCTGTTTCCCTATTGGTGTCCAGACAGAGAGCATAGAGGGATTTTCTGAGATCTACGTTACTTTTTGCTTTGATATTGGTCTTCTCTAAGGAGCTGGTGCCATTGTTGAACCCCTCACTGTTTTCCAAGTGCACAACAGATTTGTTCAGAGAGTTTCTACTGGATCTTCTCTTTGCATCTCCCCCCGCTGTGCTGCCCTGAGCGCTACTGTGTTCGTCTTTGAGGACAGCTTGCTCTTCATGATCAGTCTCTCGGTGGTAGAAGTAACTGAAGTTGGACACGATGACAGGGACAGGCAGGGCGATGGTGAGCACACCCGCGATGGCACACAAGGAACCCACAATCTTGCCCCCCACAGTGACAGGTCGCATATCCCCATAGCCCACGGTGGTCATGGTTACCACTGCCCACCAGAAAGCATCAGGGATGCTGGAGAAATGAGACTCAGGGTCATCGGCCTCCGCAAAATAGACAGCACTGGAGAAGAGGATCACCCCAATAAAGAGGAAGAAGATGAGGAGGCCCAGCTCCCTCATGCTGGCTTTCAAAGTCTGTCCCAAGATCTGCAGCCCCTTGGAGTGCCTGGAGAGCTTGAAGATCCTGAAGACTCTG